AAAAAAAAATCAATTTTCTTACCTTTTTCAGCTTCTGGAGGCCAAATGCATTCCTTCGCTCATGGGTCCTTCATCGCATTACTACAATCTTCTGGTCCCATTGTTGCTTCTCCTACTACTGAGTCTGAATCCTCCTGCTTCCCTTTTAAAAGGATTCTTGTGATTACATTGGGCAATCCTGGAAATGGTACCTAACTTGGTCTGAGAGGTAGAGGAAGGAGCTCCAGTGGGGAGGATATTCATGTTGAATTTTGAGGTATGTGTAAGAATTAGCCAGATGAATTATAAGAATGATAGCAATAGTAATAACAAACATTTATATATGGACCTCACTTCCTTGCTCAAAAGCCTTCTTGTACTCTGCTTTCCTAAAGATGTTTCCTGCCTCAGCCTGCGTGACCAACCCTTTTCCTTTTATTCCTGTGCTCTCCCTTTCCGCTACTGCCCACCTAAGCTCCTTAGCGTGGCCTCCACTCCTTTACCCTGAGGCGAAGTCCCTGTGACTCTTCCATGATGCTCCCAGCGGTCTAAGTCTCAGGGGTGAATGAGATGGAGTGACTGAGTCACTGTAATGGCCAGACACCAGAGGAGGGACCAATAGGGTCTCTGGTTGCTGAGGGCAATCAGAGCTTTTGTTGCTAGGTGGCTGGAGTTACTGTATTTCAAAAGCAGCTTAAGTTCCATGAGGCCAAGTGAGATTCCCAGCAACTTGTTCCCACATGTATTCCTACTATTTCTTCCCTCCCTCACTTGAAGAACTCAAACAGGATTTCTTGGTTCTTCACACGCAGGGGCATCCACCAAACCCACCTCTCCCTGCCAAAGGGCCTGACCCAAGTTTTCTTCTTCTGGGAACTCTTTCTGGCTATTGTTTAATTCCTGCTACTCTTCATTCAGTGCCAGGAACTTGGCATATTTTACTTCTAATCCTCCCTTTTCTGATCAGGAATTTCAGAGACATTAAATTTTTGTCCCAGGGACCCAAACCCAGAACCTTTTCCCTAGAGCTAGTCCTCTTTCCATCAGGGCAAACTCTCCTTCCTTCCTGGGTCCCAGAATACTCCTTTCACTGTCCACAGATTTTCAAAATCTCCTGAAATTCTCCCTCCAACACAAAAGTTACCTGTGCTACATCTCTGTGGCTAGATCATTGTTCCAAAGGTCTTGTCTTTGTAATAGAACTCTGAATTCCCTTCCCTGCTTTTTTGGTTTTCTGTCATAACCCACTGCACAATTTCATGCACAAAACAGGTATACCAAAAAAAGCTAGACATGTTTATTTGTTGTCATGCCCCTAGCTCAGTATCTGGCATATGGCAGGTGTTCAGAGTAAGGATTCTAATGTAGACAAGGCTTAGGCTGATTCCCTCAACCCCCACCCTGCCATACCTCAGACCTAGGCAGATGATCAACAAATGGTGTCGCATTGAAAGCCATCAATATGGTTTTGTAGAAAGACATTGGATCGGAACCAGATGACTTTTGTGCAAATTCCTACTCTGCAACATGCTGTGCAATCTTGGGCAAGGTATTTAACTTCTCTCTTTTTGTCAGATGTAAAATGGGGATTATGTTATGTGCTTCCCAGGATTGTTCTGAGGATTCAGAGGCAATGCAGATAGTGAAAGGAGTGGCCACTATGGTGCTCTTGGTCCACACAATGGACCCCTCTGTGGATCACAGTGGGACCTATCACCTGGGGAGACCCATGGGGCAGAGCTCCAAGGGTCCTTAAGTTGGCTTGTTAACTTTCTTATCTGTCTGTCCTATCCTCAACTCCTTTCTACCTCAGTGATTTTTAGTGGTTAAAATAGATCTATTGACAAACTAATTCCATTTTTAAATACTGCTGAGCAACAGTGCTTAAAAACTATCACTTTTACTTTTCCTTTGTTAATTTGCTTGTAAACCATTGTTATTTGGTCTGTTTTTCCATTAAATATTTGGGGAAAGGGTTAGACTCAGGCACAGTACATTAATGTAATTTCCTTTATTTCCTACATAATAGGACTCATCTCACCTTTAGTTGAAGTGTGGACCACTTGGTAATTGTCTTGGCTCTAATTCTAACATAATGGACTTGGAGCCAGGGTATATAACTGGGGATCTTGGGGGTCAGACAGACCTGGGTTTGAATTCTGGCTTTGCCACCTACTTACTCACGTTCACAAAATACCTAATCTCTCTGAGTTTCCTTCTGTTCAATGTAAAAGGGGGATGATACCCCTCACTAACACTATAATACATATAGAGTGCCTGGCACAGGAAAAACTTAATAAATGTCACTGGTCTTCCTAGAAACAATTTCTTAAACCTTAAGGACTTTGCTAAAAATTGTTTGAAATAATTACATGGCATACTGGAATGTCATGTGAGTCCACTTTGCATTTGAACCACTAGTAGATTAAGCTGAACTTGCATAGAAAAGCCTTCTGGGAATTAACCCGGGGTTGGGTGATTTTAAACCAGTTTTCATTCTGCTGCAGAAACAAAAAGGATGAGATGGGAGAAACACTATTCCTTTAATTGAAGGAACACTTTTATGTTCTCAGGTCTATTTTAATCTTAAGTGCCGATTATGTATCATTCTCTCCTGTTAACAGACACTTCTGTAAGTGATCTGCACAGAGAGAAATATGATTCTTACATAAATACTGTACCATGAGAAATTATCTTATTACCTAATATGCCAAAAAGCTAATAAGATAAGGGAATGGTACGAGTCATTTTTGGACAATATTAAAACTTGATTTCAGCTCATGGAAATAAAATGTAATTTCCTTTTATTATTCTCTTCTTTAGGTAGAACAAAGGCAGTCAAGGGTGCGAGGATATTGGAAGCTGTATTCTGTGAGCGTTCATGAAGGCTGTGGAAGGATCCAGGCAGGATGGCCTCAAATTAAGATTTTAATGACTCTTTGGTTTAGAAAACACACTCTTATTGTTAACACTATCTTATCAGGTATCATTTTTGAATTCACAGATGAAAGCTAAAAAATTCATAATTACACAAATACTTGCCTTGTGTGTTTGCATGTGTGTGTCTGTTAAGGAACAAATGCATAGTGCCTACAGGAAGTAAGGGCAAAATAATTTCAAGGACTGGGGAGTTTCCGGAATTACCTATGGCAAAGGCAATTGCGTGCTGCATTTTGACAAGGTTAAAAGTATCTACACCCAAATGCTGACTCAAGGAGAGTACGGGCGCCACAAGACCCTGTGAGTTTCAAACGTACATTTAAATGTTATTCTTTGGGGGTTAAAATGTTTTATTTACAAATGAACGAAAGTTGATTGATCTTGATGAAAGACATTTAAACAGGACCTCAGCTGATAAAAATTTCTGGCAGTAGCCATCATTTGGTCAGCGTTTGATCTTTGGTAATAGAAGTAAGCAAAGTTTTGATGTTGATGGTGATGATGTGGGGTGGTTTTAGACACAAGCACATTTTTTTTGCACTCCTCCTATCACGTTGACAGAAATAACACTAAGTAAATGCCGTCAGCTTTCTATGATATGCAATTTCACAACCAAGCAAAATACAATGTACCTAGGACCTCAAAGAAATGTAATAATCTCAGTATTCTTGTTATTTGTTAGACCTTTTCCATAAACACCTACAGAAACCATATATGTTTGCCTAGAGATTTAAGGTAACAGGCTTATACTCGCAACAAGATGAATTTTTTATTAGATGTTAGGCAGACACATTGTGCTGATGCTAGAAAGTGTTTCTGAGAGAGTATATGTAGAATGTCTTCTATGGACATTTTCAAGACCTATTTAAATACCTACATCTATTTGTAAAATTTTCAACATAGATCTGTAGGAGAACCTAGTGAATGAACTACATGAACTGGGAAGATTCTACCAACTTCGGGTATTCCAAAATAATGCAGCCATCCATTTAAAGTACACTAAAATGACACCTTTAAGGAGCAGGGGTGGTGATGACTGGCAACTATCATAGGTTTGGCAGCAACATTTTTAGACCTACAAACATGGTTGTAAAGCTGTGTTATCCCTGTGGGAAACTCTGTTCTTTTGAATGCCCATTTTTTTCTCCAGAAAAGAAACGTACGGGCTTGTCTTTAAGATAAAACTATAATAAGAACCTTTAAGTTCAACTATATGAGGTTCAGGCTGACTTAGAGGTTTAATATTTAGCTTGGTTAATTAAATCCCATTCTTTGCCCCGAATTTAATTATTCCAACCAATGTGGTAACTTAATATAATAATAAAAAAGAGGTTAATTAGAAATAGAAGAGAATCTGACTATTTGTTCATCTGGCTCAGTGGGGGCATTTCATGAAGTGTCAGTTTATGGATGGCAATGTTTTATAGAGTATGAATTTTCAGTTAGTGAGAAAGTGAAAATGAAAGACAGTAGATCATCAATGAGTGATTGTATCAGGAAATCACTAAAAAGCTAATCTGTAAAGTTCAGGGCATATTTTAATGTGACTTCATGATAATATAGGCAGTATTTTTCTCCCTAGGTTGAACATAAATCATGTTCTTTAGACACATTATGAGTAATTCCTTGTTTAGAGTTTTTATTCAGAGGTAAGACAGCCAAGTATTTCCTACTTTTAAACAGAAATGAGTGCTAAAATAAAAAGGTGACCTTTCTTGCTTAGCTGTCACTTTTAATACAAACGGTCTGCTTTCTTAATATTTCTTAATGCTCAAGTTCTGCAACCTTAATGCTGAGTGCTGTGCAGTAGAATCAGACTTGGATCAAATCCTAGCTGGAAACTTGCTTTTGGTGTCAAGTTACTATTCTTATTGAGCCTCAGTCTTGTCATCTGTGAAATGAGGATAATGTTGTCTACATCCCTCGGGTTGCTGAGGATAAAGTGAAAGAATGTAGAGGATACTATACAGCCTGCCCGTTACATAATAGATGCTCTGCAAATGGTGGCTCCCTGTCCTCTGAATAAGTCACAAGCCTTCTTATAAATGACTAACAGGTGCTAATGTATCGTAACACCAAAGGTAAGGCCAAGTGTTCTGGCTTATCAACCAGGGCAGTGCTCCTTAAACTTGAAAGTACCAGTGATTCATTCACCTGGGGATCTGGTTAAATGCAGATTCTACATTTCTAAGAAGCTCCCAGATGATGCTGATACTGCTGGTTGCGGACCACCACACTTTTAATAGCATGGAACCAGAACAGTGACTTCTGAATATCGAGCTGACTTTCAGGGACTGGGCTAAAATATTGGGAACTCTGAAGATGGTACAGGAAAAAAGTGTAAATAAACACATTTAAAAATTTGGGAAGTCAAATCCATTCTACACACTTTCATTTATTGTCTGGACAGATAAAGTACAAATAATTCAAACACAACAAGATTATGAAAAAAAAAACATTTACAATACTTTCCCTTGGAAATCATCTAAACTAGCAAGATTAACATGAAGTCATTCATTAATAACTAAAGTATACAACTGCCTGGTCCTAAGATTTTTTTTCCTTTTTTTTTCCCCAAGATTGAACACATTATAGAGAAGATTTTGGCATGCCTTTCCCACTAATGCTTAGCAAATGCATCAAAACTTTGCCAGCAAACTGCGTTCATTCATAGCAGGTGACGTAAAAAGATTTCCCTGAATGTTGAACGAGTGTTCTCTGAACTGAAATCTGGTGTTATATCCAAAACCGAAAAGAGGAAAAAAAAACAGAAAAAAAATTTAAAGGAGGAGTCTATGATGCAGCCTTGGTATTCGTAATCTGTCTACCACTACGACGACTACTACAAAGTTTGCCTCTTCAGTGTGAAAACAACAGTCCTGTCTACATGCACTTAGTGGGTTCAGCATGGGAAAAAATGCACAAAATAAGCACAAGTTATAAATAACCATAACGTTTTATTACCATTAAGACTAAACTTGTATTGAAAAGATTTTATATAACAAGACAAGAAAAGCAATAGCAAATTTAACTATCAACTAGATTATGCATAGCGAGTAACTGTTTCTATTACCCAGGGAAGAGCATGAACCCTTGTATTTTTTTGTTTTGTTTTTGTTTTAAATATATAACCGTACAAAGCACAAACATACTAAAATGATCAGTGCACTGGACGTGGGAGAGTGCTCCCTCAGTCATTTTGTTCCCTTAGCTCTGTTTGTTTTCCCCAATCTGAGTTACATTAAAATAAAGACTCAGTTGTTTTTATTTTTCTACTGTGCAGTAAGAAAAAATATTCACAACAAACATGACAATATATCAAACAATAGTTCTACACAAGTTACCTTGATACCTCTTTAACTGTCACTTAAATATCATAAGAAAACATTTTAAGACATATACAAACAAAACTAGCCAAGTGTTACAACTTATAATAAATTAACCCAAAGAAAAAATAACTTTATATATATATATTTATATTGTATATACACATACACACACAACAGAATGACACAATAATATGCTTCTTCCCATAGTTTAAGTAAACAAATAAGTAGTCTAGCCAATCTAGCTATATTTGATCTCGGCCATAGGCATCATCACATCGGCGATTAAATAAATAAGTGTTTCAAGCAACATAAACAGTGTTTCAAATGTACCAACACAGCCCAATTCTATCAGCATGGGCTACAAAGTGAATTTCAAAATTTCTTAATGAATTTAAAGCAAATGTATCTTTTGTTTTCCTCTCCTAAACACATTACATTTAACTATGATACTAAGATATGTAAATAATTTCGTAGCACCTACTGCTCAAACTAAGGAAGTTTTAGATCAAAAGGAAAATTAATCTTTTTAATTTTTGTTCTGCTGACATCCCATACTGATGACTTAAAGAAAAACTGTCTTTCAACTCATCTCCTTGCTTTTGGGTTTTGACTGTGGGGAACTGTGGTACCCTGGGTAGAACGAACACTCCTTTCCCCTAGTAATTAATAATTGTTTTTTAATTATTATTACATGCTATGAAAAGATATGAAGATCATCTGTTTATAGCCCATCCTTCAAAAAACAGTCTACGAATCCAGTTTAAAACACACATCTTGATCTCTAAAAAGTTACCAGTGCAGTATGAACGCGACAAAGTTGTCAATTTCCCCTAAATTAGCCAGTCAAAATATTTTTTTCTCAAATCCAGATTCTCTTGTAAAAATTCTTTATATTTTATAAAAATAGATTTTTCTTGAAACCCATTTTCAGCAAAGAGACCACCTCTTTGGCAACAATGTTAATGTTATTAAATTGTTAATGTCATCAGGTATCCCCCTTGCCCCCATCCCCTAACAGAAGACTGTTTTAGTTCACATGATATAAAAGAAAAAAGGAAAAATAAAAAAATTTGCAAAAGTTTTTTTTTTTTATTTTTGCAATTTTTATTATTCCTCTTTAATTTGTGTGGGGGTTTTTACCAATCTGATTGGATCGACATTTTGACAAAAAAGAAAAATCTTTTTTTCCTTTCTTTGAATCCCATTACTTTGTAAAAATTGTTTTATTTTTATTATTTTTTTTGTTTTTTGTTTTTCTTCTTCAAATGAGCGAATGGTCATCTTAAAAAGATCCACCTTCAAGGAAGGTAGTAAAGTTAGCTGGCTGGGTAAAAATCCCTGCACATCGCTATCTATGTATATTATATTCAACAACGACAGCTATGAAAGAACATTCAATGCATCAAAGGTATTTTTTTGTTTTTTTTTTTTTCTTTTTTTCTAAGCATTATAAAATCCTTTCCTGGTACACCTCAGGATAATCCAATGTTTTAATACTTAGGCAACACTGGCTTATAAAGTCCATGGTTGAATATAAGCCTTGAAAAGTTTGTTTCTCTCTCTTTTGTGTATGTGTGTGTGTGCGCGCGTGTGTTTTGTTCGTATATATTTCTATATATATTTTAGTAAGTAAGAATGAGAAATTCAGGACTTGTGGGCTTTGTTGGTTTTAAAGGAAACTTGCAACACTCTGTCTCCCAGGCGGTACCCGTTGAGGCTGGCGATGGCCATGGCCGCCTCATCATAGTTGGTCATGGTGA